TTTCGTTTTTTTTTTTTTTTTTTTTTTTTTTTTTTTGGTTGGAGGTTCTACGTTGTGTCGTGTGGGAGTTCGAGTTCTGAATCGGGTATGAGGAGTGAGATTTGGTTATGCCGGTTGCGATATGTTATTTTTTGTAATTCTGATTTTCTTCTTGACTTAACGGGAATGGATGTTCTATGTTACTTTACCAATGTATACCCTTATGAGATCGATACCAAGTTTTATTATTAATTTCTTGATTGCTCGTTCTGTGGTAGTTAGCTGTTAGGAGTTTGTTGTTTTATCGTTGTAGTTTTTAGCTGTACTTTGTTTCAGCTGAATATTTATGTGTTTTGCATGCATTCATTGTTTATTGTAAAGTTGTTTGTTGTTGCTGCTGCTGTTGTTGTAATAGGAAATTAGCTTTTAGGAATTAGAGTGCATCATGGACTAGTCATTTAGTTTAGATGGTGGCAGTATGAAGTGCTTTACTTTTTTTTGTTTATTAAGAGAAAGCATTTTTTATTGTAATTAGGAATTATTGAAATTTGCAAGCCGTTTTCCAGCAGTCTTGCAATTTTTCCATTAAAATTTCAAATGTAAAGCGTTGCTCTTAGTAGATGTCAGTGTTCAGCATGTCTTCAGCCTTTGAGTTAAGTCTTTCTTAGTTCTCTTTGTAAAGCTAAAAATTTTTGTGGTTGGACGTAGTTCCATTTAAATTGTTACCTTGCTGTTTGTTGTTTTAATGTTATAACTTATCATTGTATTAGTGTTATGTTGGTTTTAGTTTTGAAGTAAATCTTTTTCATTAAGATAATTTTTGGATTTGTTGTCATATTTTTCTTAGTCTAAATTTTTGCTCTACAAAATTGGGGAATTATCGGTGAAATGGAAGCCAACCTGATATCAAAGGAGCAATTTGAAAAGCATGCACCAACGGCGGGGAGTGTTAGTGGTTGTTTTTGAAAGTATTTTCGTTTGTTAAAGAGTTACTGCAAGAGTACTTTTGATTGGCAGAGCGCGTTTAAGATAGTTTTGTGGTCTATTTCTATGAAAATTTTTCTTTCTGATGTGCACTTGCTTGACCTTTAGATGCACTTTGCTGTTGTTGGACCTTAGGCGAGAAATTATAAGGTATGCATTGGTTTTTGGTTCCTCAGTGAGGGTGTTTGCTGTTTTGTTGACTGTATCCAGCAAAATTTTGCCGCATAGAATTTAGTTTCTCATGAAAGGCTGCACTTTAGGTCGTTTTCTCAACTTGTTGCCAGTTACTGGACGGGTTGTGCAAGTCACTGGTTTTAAGATTAATTGTGATTGTTAAATTTTGACAGGTAGAGTTTTGATTCTGCATGTTACTTTATCTGGCAGTGAGAAATGAAAATACTTTTTTTCAACTCAGAGCTTCAAATTTAGAAGGTCTGGACGTTAGTATTTTGGAGAGTTTTACTTATAGCTTGGTGACGTCTTTATACAGTCTTTCTTAAAAGTGGAAAATAAAAACGTGTCCGTCCAAATTTCACG